GCTCTGAGGTTTTATTTCCTTGTCCTTTCCTTGGTTCATGCGTAGAAATAACAAGAGTTGAGATGTACATGGAAATTTGGTTGGCTGATTGTCAAAGGAACTCACCGTGGGGGTGCGAAGGAGACACCCGTGCGACACATGGCGCACGCTGCTGGTCACCTGCTCACCATCCATTTGCCTCTTCTTCCTTACTAACAGCAGTTTTGCTTATAAAAGCAATGTGTCCATATGAAATACTTAATTGCACAGAGTTTCTGGCAGGTGTAACCAAATGACCAAGAGATAGAAGCAGAAGTCCTGCAGAAAGTTCTGGGCTTGGTTTGCTTTTGTAATATAAGTGTGCCATTCTGTCTTCCTAATGGTTTCTGTCTTCTTTCCACATGTAATTCAGACATGAGGCTGAAGTTGAAGCAGCCATCCTGCTACTTTGAAGACAAAAGTTACTGGCAAAGCTCGGCGGAACAGGTGGGGAGGAAAAATCAAATTCTTTGGATAGTTACATCAGTTCAGGACTTACCACTCGTAAACTCCTTGTTATATCAAAGTTGAACCCTTTCTCTGCTGAGCCACTTTAGTGAGGTTTCTCTTACATGCAGGCAAACATTCTCCCTAGTTGATACTCCAGAACTGAATGAGAGCTGCTGCCAGACCGGCTGCAGAGAAGGGGCCAAGTCGTGGTGAGGTCAGCCAAGGCTCACCCCAGAAGACACTGCCCGAGCTGGGAATTCACTCTGCGTTCCACCAGCTCATAGCCTTCCTTGCTGGGGGCCGGCAGCACTTCGGAGTGCTCCCACAAGGGGCATAACCCAACAAGGGGAAGAGACAGAGGGTGAAGCCTGCAACCCCATCTTTCTCCACAAACCACACTGTCATGTAAGGCATCCATCTGTCCCCCACTGAAGGAGAGAGACATGGCTGGGGGGATGGCTATCTAAGTCACCTGCATAGAAACTCAACAGTCCCTAAAGGGCTCTTTAACAGATCAGATTGGACTGCTTTAAACAAGATTAAACATTTAGTTACATTTTTTCCCTAGAGGTAAGGGATAGGAGCTAGGAAAGATTAGAAAATTTCACATTATCTCTTTGTAGTAAATGTAGTTCGTGTTTAATTTGCCACTGTAGACTGTTTCTAGTGGGCACCAAATTATTCCACAAGGAGCAATTGACCGAAGGGGACTCATTTCCACAAGCTTGTTCAAAGTCTTTTTCCTACAAAAGCAACTGTTACATGAAAAGGAATCAGAAATAGAATTAATTTCCCTATCTCTTTATCTATTCTCACAAATCCTATAGCAGAGACATAATGTTATACACCACATAACACAGTAACTGTGTTTATTAAGCAAAAGCTACAGGAAATGCAAGGAGATATGGATTAAAATACACTGATAATAGGAGACTTCACTATACCATTCTCAGTACAAGACAAATCAAGTAGACAAAGAATAAAGAAGAAGATAGAAAAACTAAACAACATAATGAAGAAAGATTTCATGGATCATAAAGAATACACTCTTTTTTCAATAATAACAGAGAAAATACACTCTTTTTGCAGACATGCATGGAGCATTCACAAAAATTATCACATATTAATATTAGCAAACACCAGCGTTCCATAAAGTAGAAATATTACAAACAACACTTTTTCGTGATTATTTTCTTTTTTCTTTTTTTAAGGTGTGGTATGGAGTATGCTGTGGATGCAAACAGCTATTTGTGGAGAGACGCACCTGCTCTCATGAACAGCTGTTCCGAGGACCAGGGCCATGCAGACTACAGGAGCAATGTGCAGGCAGGTTGAGCTCTGCCCTGCTGGGAAGAGGGCTGAGCTCAGCCCTGAAGGATAATTCTGGAACATTTTGGGAAGAGGCAGACCCTGGGAAAATAAATGCCACTTGAGAGGGAGACTTAGGATGGAAGCATCCGATGGGGAAACCATAGATATGGGTCACAAGCAACACTTTTTTATCACAATGAGGTAAAACCAGAAATTATTTTGAAAAAATGAGCCTTTCCATCTGGAAATTAAATTTTATTTAAACAACTGCTGTTGAAAAGAAAACTATAAACTGAGACTTGAGAATTTCTTAAAGATCATAATAATGGAAATGCTAAATATCATCAGCTGTAGGATTCATTAAAAAAATGATCATTGGAAAATGCATTGTTCCTGCCATTTGGATGGACCAGAGGGTATTATGCTCAATGAAAAAAGTCATATACAGAAAGATGAATACACATGATTTCACTTATATATGGTATCTAAAAAATAAAACAAATGAACAAACAAAACAGAAATAGACTCATAAATATGGAGAACAAATTGGTGGTTACTAGTGTGGGAGAGAGGATGGGGGAGGGGTGGTGAAATAGGTGAAGGGAATAAAGAGGGACACACTTCAACTTATAAAATGAATTAAGTCACGGGGATAAAAAGTACAGCACAGGGAATATAGTCAATAACATTGTAGTAACTATATGGTAACAGTTGGAAACTACATCTGTCAATTGTGGTGAGCATTTTGTAATTTATATAATTGTTGAATCACTATGTTGTACACCTAAAACCAATATAATACTGTGTATCAGCTATACTTCAATAAAATTTTAAAAAAATAAATTATCATAGGAAAATTCATTGTGCCAAACACTGCTTCAATAAAAATAAAAGAATGAAAATAATGGAATTAAATTCTCACCTCAAACAAAAAAAAGAGAGAAAGCACAATAAAGTAAAACCAGAGAAAACAGTACAGAAATAATAAAGATATAAATAATAATTAATGTAGTAGAGAATAAGAAACATTAGGTGTAATTAATAAATCAAAATTCTTATTTATTGAAAAGAATGGAAAATAGGCAAACTACCAATTAACTAATTCATGAAAAAAAGGGGGAAAGAGCACTAATAAGGTTTTCAAAATGATAAGAGGAAATACAATAGAAGAAATTTTTTTAATTTAACGGACCCCCCCACCTTGCAAATAAATGTGAATACCTAGATGAGATGGATAATTTCCTAGGAAACAGATTAGCAAAAATATCTCCATTAGAGAGAGAACATTTAAATAGGCCAGTTTACATGGAGGAAATAGAGAAAGCTATTAAGGAGCCACATCAAAAAGTAAGCGCCAGGGCCAGATTGTTTTACATGAAAATTCTTCCAAGCCCTCAAAGTCTAGTTAGTCCCAGAGCATTGAAAATGAAGGGAATTTCCTAATTGCTTTCTCAAAACAAGTAGAACATTGATGCCTAAACCTGATAAAGACTGTGTAAAGAGATAAAACTATAGGCCAATACCTCTCATGAATAGCAATACAAAAATACTGAACAAAGATTTAGCAATATACCTACACCACCATATTAAGAAAGTGATACATCATGACCAAATGGGATTTAAATCAGAAATGAAGAATTGGGTCATTATTAGGAAACCTATTAATATCATTCACATTGTTAATAGATTTAAGGAGAAAGAATCATAAGGTTATTCCCATAGATGATTTTAAAAAGCCTTTGACAAAATTCAATAGCCATTCATGATAAAAATTCTCAAAAAATAATAACTGGGGGATGCTTGCTTAATATGATTATACACCACACACACAAATGCACATTATATATTACTGTATAATGTAGTGTATCCAGTATCTCACTTACTTAACTGGGAAACACTGAAGGCATATCTAGGAACAAAGCAAGCATGGCCATCCACCAATATTCAATATTAACAATGGATGTTTTAGCCAATGCAACTGGACAAGATAAATCAATTAGGGGCATAAGAATAAGTAAAGAAAGAAATGATCAACTAGCTGTGGTACATCCATAAGGTGGAATACTACTCATCAATAAAAAAGACAAGCTATTTACATGGCTTGGATGAATCTCAAAATTACTATGCTAAGCTCTTGAGAGAAGGGAACATGCCATATGCCTTGTTCTCTTATTGCATTAATCACAATGTATAGTATTTATCAAGGACCTTCTGTCTGCTTTCTGCCCTAGAGACAAATGGGTGACACTGTTCTTGGGGTATTTCACATGGGGTTCTCATCTCCTCACTGCTTCTTAGGAACAGAACCTTTTCCTTTGCAGCATTAACCTGAATGCAAGGGTAAGAATAACTGAATGCATTTACACAGAGAAGAACGATCACATTAAAGACTTCTTTTCAGATTAAACCTGTATTTACTTTTCTTGGGAGGTATATGTGGCTCTTTGGTTAAATATTTGCTTACAGAAGGTGATAGTACAATAGAATGTTAAATTTATATCTCTGAATTTTGACCACAAGTCCAATGAAAACAGTAGACCCCAAAGTAAGCCTAAATTTGGCAGAGTGAAACCAAATCTGTCTCACTCTGAGTGACTATTTCTGAAGGAATTGTGAACTTCTTTGTATGGTGCTTCTCTTCTCCTTGAGCCTTTGCTGTTAAGTCTACAGTCTAACTTTTATTAAATATACCATCTAAATTCATTTGTGTTTGGGGGAAATTGTTGTCCTATTTGGAGAAAATGGCTTGGGGAATGGAGAAGCCAGTTTCCAAGATGGTAGAATAAGGAGAGTTGGCATAAATCACGTATGACTATCATATATGTTGGCAGAACGTGGAAATGTAGTTTGGGAAACCCTAGAAATTATTAGGTGCAAAGTACCCAGTAGAAAAGCACAGCAGGGAATAAGGACTTCAACTATTGTTACCCATATATTAAAGGGAATTTCTGCACCAGGAAAACCAGAAAGGTCTCAGAAACCTTGGTTATATGGAATTTCTATCAGCCCATAATGAATTAATCCAAGAAGAATGTGGTCTCCGACTGGCAGAGGGGTTGAAAACATGCCTCAAATCTTCCAGGGAAAAGGAGAAAGAGAGATGTCTTGAGGGTAAACCAAGACTAGTCCAAAATCATTTTGAACTTTTACCAAAAAGGAAATTCATCCCTGTGTTCTTAGAAGTAGTAGTGGCAATTTTAAAAAATCCAGTATTGCACAAATAGGAGGGAACAGAAAAAGTTTTATTATAGTAACAATTAGCAAACAATTCAACTGGGCTGGGGGAGCAGCATGTGGTTGACTGGCCAAGCTGTGAGCAATCAAGGTGCGGGGTGATGGAGGTAGGGAAGCAACAGCCAGTTTCACAAGAAAATCAGAGAACTGGTTACACTGAGGTTGGTCGAAAAGTTTCCACAGATACCTCTGAATACACCAAACATTGTATTCTTATCTGTTGAATCTCTGTCTTTTGCTCTTTCTGGCATTTCACTTAGTTAAGATAGATCTGTTTTTCCAGACAATTCTTTCTTCTTCATGGGCAGATGATAAGAAATCATTTGAATGCTTCTGTTAAAATGTAATTAAACAAATTTATGCAAGAAAGACTTTTATAAGCATCTTCACTGACAGTGCGAAGAACTGATCTAACAAACCATACGGGCAAATGATCACTATGGTTCTAAAGGCAATAAGTGAGTAGAAGCCACAGCGGGGAGATTATCTTCCAGTCTAGAAAGAATCTAGAGGAGGAATTTTTACTCGGGATAAATGGAGGAAGTTTGACGCCTTGCATTTCTTTTCTCTGTGTCTCTGGGGAAAAATTAATAACGTAAGGGGCATCAGTATTTTCTGCTTTTTAGTTTCATAAATTGGGAATTTGTCTCTCACCTGTTAAATTAATCAACCATCTACCAATTGGCAACATTGAACTTGAGTCCACTCCCCAGTTCCGAGAGCCCGAGGGGCAGAAACCAGCGCACTCTGCGTGAGTTACGTGGGGGCAGAGCCCCCAAGAATATGCGGGAACTACGGACGGGTTTTCATTAAGTTTACCCTTACGGAAACAGACGCGACAGAACATGGGAAATGATCTTGGTGGAAAGTATATCCAGCGCTCTCAGGATGATGTCCAGGACCCTGGGCTCGCTCTCCACCTGGGCCCTGGCGGCGCGCTGCCGCAGCACACAGGCCATCTCCCTCTCTGCCAGCTCCCCCTCCATCTGCGCCCGCCTCCTCTGCTGCTCCAGCTCGTCCTCCAGGCTGCAGATTCTCTCCTCGTACTCCAGTTTGATCTGCACTTTCTGCCTCTCCAGCTCTGCCTTGTAATGTTCCTGCAGCTCCTGGATCTGCTTCTGGATCTCCTCCTCGGCCCTCTGGAATGGCGGGCTGGTGTAGCAGAGCCCGCAGTTCTCCTGCACCATGTGCTCCACCAGCTGCAGCAGCTGTGCCCGCTGCACCGCCTGCTCGTCGCCCAGGGCCCTGTTGTTGAACAGGCAGTAGTGATCCTGGAACTGGCCCATCAGCTCTCGAATGGTCTGGGGCGCTTCCTTCAAATAATCATAGAAACTAGAGCCCCCCAACTCATCCTTCCGGGTGAATAAGAGAATCATGTGCCTCCGAGCTCCGCATCCGAACATCTGCAGAATCTTCTGGGTGGCCTTGTGCTCCTCTGGCGTGTAGCGGCCCAGCGGGACCACGAGGACCAGAGCGTGGGGCCCCGGGGAGGTCAGCAGCACGCAGCGAGCGATCTCCGTGTGCGTGTCAGCATCCGGCACCTCGGTGTCGAACACGCCGGGCGTATCCACCACCACGACCTCCTTCCCGTTCCACGGGCCGCTCCCTTTCTCGCAGGTCCTGGTGATGGATTTTGAGGAGATGCCAGAGCGAAACACTTTCTTTCTGAGGATACTGTTCCCTGTGGAGCTTTTCCCGGCTCCAGTCTTACCCACTAAGACAAGTCTCAGTTGTGAATCTCTGGGATACTGGTTTCCAAGCCCTGGGGCTGAGGAGGCAAAAGCCAGAGCGTTAGTGGGGACCGGCCACTGTTTCCCCGCAGGGCGGCCGTGCGCCCTCCTCTGCGGTCCGGACCTCCCTGGGCTGCCTCTGCACTCACGCGGGGTCCGGCAGTAGGTGGGAGCCACACAAAGACTTTCTGGGTTCCCCTGGGCTTCTTACTCTGACCTTTCATAGCTAAGCAGCCCGGTGGGGAGGAAAGAAAACGGGTTCAGAGCGAACTCTGAGCTGCAGCCGGTTCCTCACCAATTGGCTCAGAAAGGGACACGCATCTGACTCCGGGACATCGCAGTAGGGGATCCCTCCAACCCCCACACGCACGATTTATATTCAAAATGGAACTTTTCTTCCTCCCATTAAGAAGCTAGGTAGGTGGGCTAGACAACTCACCATTTCTACCATCCTGCAGGGTAGAAAAAGGTTGCCCCCAGGAAAGACCCAGCGACCCCTTTGTATTCTGCCCAGAAACCATTCTGTCAGTGATTGTGACCCACAGGAGAATGGAATATCTCATGTTTAAACTTAGTGACCTTAGCTGAGAAATCCAGTGACTTGGAATATCTCATGTTTAAACTTAGTGACCTTAGCTGAGAAATCCAGTGACTTTTTATATTTTAAATGAATGTGCTGAAGAATTATAGTCAGAAAATATCAACAGTTCTCTGGACTTACTATTGTTAGAAAACCACAGGCCCAAGGATGGAACCATTTATGTTAATGGCACTGCCAGCAAACCAAGACAATCCCTGACTTAACTGCCATCTCAGCACAGAACTGTGACCTTTAACCCATCGGCATGGGGTTTCCTGGTCTGCTCCCGGAAACCCGCTGATAAAGGACAGCCTTGCCTAAAACACTGGGTCCTTCGCTAATAATTCCCTTTTCTGCACTCCCTCTCTGCCTCTAAAAACCTTTCCTTCTCTGCAGTTCAACAGAGCATCTCTCTAGTGAGGATGCTGCCTGATTCATGAATTGCTTAATAAAGCCAATTAGATCTTCAAATTTACTCAATCGCATTTTTGGTTTTAACACTATAAAATCCCTTGATACATAATAAAAGAAAAATAAAAAACTCAGCCAGATTAGCATCAGTAGAGTTATATACTTTCTTAGTTCCACTTGGCTAATTAGGCATCTTCTACTTCCTACAGAAACTGGCGGTTGATATCAGAGCAGCAGAGCATAGCAACGGAACTGTTTTCAAGGTAACCGTGCCTCAGGTTTAACACCAGATCAGTTACCTAGCTCTTGCTGTATTTGTATTCAGTAATTCTTGGAGTTGAAGACAACTGACAGTCACATTTGAGAGCCTGTTTCTCCGAGGAGGCGGACTGACCCTGCCAGTGGACTGATTCTTGCATGAGAAACCCTATGTACAACCATCTGTTTTTTTCTTTGGGATAATGCATTCATTATCACACTTACAACATTATAGACATTGTTATAAATGCCATTTTATTTTTCAGAGCCATCATCATCATTCACCCAGTTCCTCAGACAAAAATCTAGGAATTGCCCTTGATTCCTCTCTTTCCGTAACTTCCCATATCCAGCCCATCAGCAAGTTCTCTGGGCTCCATCCACGAACCTGCTGCTTCTCCATCATCCTGGCCCAAGCCACCATCGCCACTCATGCCTCAGTGGTCTCCTGACTGGTCTCTCTCCTTCCATTTTGTCCCCTTCAGTCTATTCTGTAAGTTGGAATCATCTTTTAAAAATACCACTCCAACTGAGGAGAGAGATTGCAGAACCCCCACAAATCTGTAGTTAATCCCCACCTCTCACACACTTGATGGCGACCCTTTTGCTAAAACAGGGATTAGCGAAAACATCCCTAAGGCAGCGTTTCCCGCATTTGATAGCCAGAATCCTGGAATGAGAGAAGGAAATCTCCAGAAACTCAGAACCCTGCTGTTCTGGTGTGTACACATTATAGGAAGTAGGAAAAATGCCTCATCAAGCCTGGGATCAATTAGAATACTTTAATCCCTCTTCCCCTCCACTGTTTTGCTACATCGTGAGGAAAAAGTGTAGGGGATTGAGAAATATGGAAGAGTGGAGTAAAGAAAGAGAAAATAAGTGGGGTTGGGAATGGGGTTTGCTGTTGCTGCCGGGACAGGAGAACCCCGCCAGCTCTCCCCCCTGCAGCCTGGCAGGGGGAGCCCAGAGCGCACACTCACCGTGGCTGGTGCTGGGCTCGCTGTGCTTGGAACTCGTCCCCCAGAATCGGGCAGCCATTATACTGTGAATTCCTGCACACAAAGAAACAAACATGCCACTTTGGGGAACTGGAGAATAATTGGAAATCTCCACGTCATGCAGCCAACAGTTTCTTTTTCTTTTCATAAATTTGCTACTTTATGTCTCTTCTGCTATTCACCAATACTTCTCAGCTGTCCATTTTCAGATTGGTCCTTTTTCTCTACCCAAACATAAACGCTTAGGCGTTTCCTCAGCACTGGTTTTGGACACACACCCCTCCCCATTCAGTGAGTTACTACTTTGAATGCCATTTACATATAGTCTGTAGCCTGGACCTCCCTCAGAGTTCCAAACTTTTAGACCCCATTCAGCTTGTCCACCTGGCAAGTTCATGGGCATCATAACCAGAACTCAGCCCAAATGGAGCCCTTGAGCTTCTTGTTTTGTCTCCAGATCACATAAATTAATCTGTCCCCTTTTGAGTAAACAGCACCCCCATTCAGCCAGCAGCTCATACACAACCTTGTGGTCGTCTACACCTCTTCTTTCCTCACTGGCTCATCAGTCCATTACCAAATTCCGTTGCTTTTACTTACAAAACAAATACAAAATTGTCCTTTTCTCCTTATCTTCATGTTAATCCAACCCAGTCTCATTTGCTTGCAATGAAACAGGCTTCTAACTGATCATCTCATCTTCAGACCTTTTCTACTTTACAATCAGATACTTTTTTAAAACTAAAACTTGATTCCCCCTGCCCTTGTTTCGATTCCCTAATGGCTGCCTATTGCTTTTTCTCAAATAGTTCAAAATCCTTGGAATGGTCCATAGGGCCCTGCATGAGCAATTAATTACGTTCTCAAAAGGCTTTCGCCGTACTGGCCTCCTCAGTGTTCCTACATCCTCCAAGCTGCTGCCAATGTCTAGCACTTTCTGGAAGAGTTCCCTCTCCTTGGAACTCCCACTCCGATTCAATGCGCAGCTCATTCCTGCTCAGCCCCCAGGCCGCAGCTTTCTGTCACTTCTCCAGAAAGGGTTTCTCCAACACCTCTCCCCGCCACGTCCCTCCCAACCCCCACCAGCACCAGCCGACAATACAGCTTTGGTGTGGTCTGCTTGCTGTCTGTGTTCATCACACGCTAAGGCGTTTTGCATCTTCCAATAAGTGGCCTCTCTAATTTTTTTGCTCTCTCCCTTTAAGCTGTAAGCTTTGTGGTGGTAGAACCATTTGTGTCTTGTATTTCCCTTTATTCCCTGAGGGCAAGAACAATACTTGACAAGGAGTGGTTCTCAATAAATATTTGTTAAATAAGTAAATTTTGATTTAAAAAAAAACCCTGATTCTTGCCCCCTCTCTAACTGACCTTTATATATCCAGCCTAAATCTGATCTGGGGAAAAGATTATACCCTCCTTAGTAATCAATGCTTAATGTTATAGGGACATGGTTTTCCATTAAATGTTTTCTTCCCTTGCTACCTACCAATGTTTGGCAGTGGAGAAAGCCACTTGGAGAACTCCAGTTGGAACAGACTTGAACGAGGACAGTCTGAAAATACTAATTGTTAAGGGCAGGCTCATCTGATAGGAACCATCAAATATAAACTTGAAACACTGTTAGAAAGACAGACACTTCTTCTGAAAGAAGAGTTATCGCTCTATCCCTTAAGGATAGGGGGTAGGAAACAGCTTCCTGTGAACTGGGAAGAGAGAGAGATCACAGAATTTTTAAAAATTAGCTTCAGCCACCAAACTGATGTGGGTGAGTGGTATTAGGAGAGGGGTAGGATGTCAGATAGGAAAACAGAAGGTCTGTGGGTGTTTTCTTAAGGTCCTCCTTCAGGCACATGGGCTCTCTTTTCATTCTGTAATACTGTGTGGTTTAGCCCAATTCAGACGGAAAACCAGAGATCAGCACGTCTGTAGGCACCGGCCGATGTGGCTGAACTCATCTCTCACTGCCAAAGAACAAGCGTCCGCCGGTCCCCACCTACTCCTGAACTGCAGAGAGGAAGCTGGGGTGGCATCTCCCTCCTCCTACCTCCTAACGGTTCCCTTCCCCAACACACTGGTGAGGCCCAGTAAGACTGTCCCTGAGCGGGCAGGGTCCCAACAGGCAGCTCTGAACAGCCAGTTCCCTGGTAACAGAGCCTCGGACCAGGACCCGTGTGCGGGCTGAGTGGGAGGCATGCCCAGCTGAGCTGCTTACACCCGCCAGAGCTCTTCACCCTCAACTCTATCCCTGAAAACTTCGAGTTTATTTATAAATTCTACAAATGAGGAAAGGAATCGTTATGTGTATAAGTATCCTCTGAGCGACCATCCCTGAAAAAGACATTAATTTGTAGGGCTCAGACTTCAAAACATATTACACCCTAAAGCCAGCAAAAACAGGAAACAGGAACCAACAAATAACGTATTCTGAGAGCAAGTTTGCAGGGGATTTTGATACAGACCCAGAGGAGAAGTCTCTTCTCCACCAAACCATGCAACCCCCACAGACTCCGGCCTCCCCAGCCAAATATTGCCAGCTCCCCTATTCTCCTACCTGGAAAATCTGGGTCCTGCTCCTTTCTCTAAGTCTGAATCAATGCTAAGCCAAGGTATTGAGAAAATTGAGAAAGAGGAGGGGAGAGGAAGTGCGGGGAGGAGCTATCCAAACTCGTTCAGACCAGAGACCTTCCCACTTAATCGTCTCGCTGCTTGAATAGAACTTTCTCAATCGTGGAATTGTTTTGCATGGTCCAATGTGGTAACCATTGACAACATGGGCTGTGTGTGATTGTAGAATTGTATTTTTAATCGGATTTCATTTTAATTAACTTAAAGTTAAATAGCCGTGTCTTCATAGTAGCTACCATATTAGACCATGCAAAGATTCTATAGGGAGGGACAAATATGGGTCATGTGAAATTTTGGAAGAAACTGATGAGTCACAACCAGAGAGCTTCCAGCTAATTTGAAAGCTGCATGGACCCTGGACCTACTTCTCACCACAACAGGCCTTCCAGCCCCATATTCGCCCCTTGTGCTTCTGGCCTGAATCAGGGAGGCAGCTGCCACCTCCACTCCTCCCCAGTGACGTGGGAGAGACAAAGCTGTTATTTTCAGGCTGAATCATCGGCTAGAAGCCAGAGGGACAAGATGATCTTCATCTCACTAATTAGGATGAGCCCAAGTCACCCTGTGAGATGGTTCTAGAATCATTTGTATTAGTCTAACCACTGACATCTGACACTATCGACCACAAAAATGGAGCCAGTGAGAGCACTATAACGGGGGTAGGGATGGGTCCCAGTTCTCCACAGACACGGAGCCCATTATAAAAGGGGTGTCAATTTGCAGTTATACCCTATCACTGAGACTTCAGAGCTGCACCGGGCTTTAGTAATTATAGAAACTGCTAACAATTTAGGTTAAGGTAAGAGAGCAGACATAAATTTCTCTGAGGACTGCATGTGGTTATTCTGTGTCTATAAGTACAGCATGACTCCCCTAAAGCAGGGGACAGGGCAGTAGAATAAACCACGCACTTTAGCCGTGAGGATAAAAAACATTCCAGAACAATATACCCTAAATAACAAGGGTGGCTCAGTCCCTAGGTGAGACAGACAGATGCAGGTAAGTCAGAAGAGGCAGGGTGGGAGTTCATCTCTATGACTTTGATGTGGGTGACTTAGAGAGAAAGGGTGGGTTTATATTTAGTTTCTATAGTTGAAGCATAGATAGGAGGTTTGTATTTAATTATAGGAGTAAAAGCAGAAATTTATATAAAATATATTAGTTATTATAAGTACTATTAAACTCCCAGGCCGTTACTAAAGTATTCTTTATTTGGGTTACAGGATAACCAAATATAGGAAAATTCTCTGTTACAGCTTACATTTATGACACACGTTTGGGCTAAATGCTTTCACAGTAAAGCAATGTGTAGAGGGAAATTTCTAGCTTTGAAGGCTTATATTAGAAATGAAAAACAATCTAAAAATAATCATCTGATACCTCAAGACAAATGCTGGGCATAGAAGCCATACGGCATAAATCTGCAAAGAAGTAAAAAGCTAACCTTTTCAAACAATATGGCTTCTCTCTCACTTACCAACTTTATTTACATTTCCCTGTGTGGCCCCGGAAGATGACTGGTTAGCCAGAGACGGGTAAGTTCCTCAAGGGAGGAACAACCTAAGACAGGCACAGCTGCAGGGGGGCTATCAGGTGAGAAATTGGGGATCAATAGAGGTGAGGCTTAGAACCTCACCCCCCCTGTTTTGAGAGAAATCCTCTGCATCCATGGATGTTTTGCTGCCCTTGTCTAGCTTGGGTTAACACATAGTCTACAGGCACACACCTGATCATCTACATTTGCCCTCTTACAGCACTAAACTATGTTTTCGACCTTTATCTTGCATCTACCTACCACTTCAGCATGTTATTAATAATAATAATAATAATAATAATAATAATAATGAGGGAGAAATGTGGGATTCACATATAAATCAAGTATAAAAATCAAATGAATATTCATATGTGACCTGATTGTTTATAGTTCATAATGCGTGATCAAAACCGAAAGTTTCTGTGATGACTGCCCTTGTACTGTTCACC